ACTTTCATGGAGCTGTAAATTAAAGGGCAGGAAGTGTGATAAAACTCCTTAGAGAACAGTGAGGAGGGGGTGGTGGAAAAAAGTCGCCCTGCAATGGTTAAATGAAATTTTATAAGCACATTCAGTGTGGAGCTGTTTTGCATTACATGAGTTGAATACCTTAGAGACGCCACATCTGCAGGCACTTTATTAAATCCTTACTCAGCACTTTCCAACCTGATGAGATTACTTCTTCATTTGACTGGAGAAAAAGAAAGCTGAGCTCTTGTCCTGGACTGCAGATTCCTTTTGATGTTTCACCTTGAATGCTGAAAGAGGACAGTCACACACACACACACACACACACACACACACACACACACACACACACACACCCCTTCCTCCGCAGCACAGTTAAACTGTAGAAATTGTGAATGTAATAGAGTAATTTTAACTAGAGCCTTTGTGGGAGTATGGATTTATAGAACTCCCAACTAAGCTGGAAGTTTCTGAAGGGGAACCAAAAAAGCTAGATCAAAGCCCTGTGTTTACGTCCTTAATGTAAAACAATCGTGATAACATCATCCTCTATTGTATTGTAATATTGGGAAGCACCGCAGAGAAGTGTAGAGATCCCTTTGCAGACCATCTGGTTACAGTAGCTTAGGTTAAGGGCTGTGAAGTATGAAGGCAGAAAACATATGCAGCATAAATGTACCCGTCAGTAAATGTCTGAAGACAATGTTTTAACTCTCCACCAACGAGTTTTGTTTAAATGTGTCAACATTCCCCCCCCCCCCCCCCCGTCGTTGATTACTCAACCCCAGCAATTTACCCATCCCTGATTTCCTTGGTCTTCTTTATATATGGCCCGGGTAGAATGTATTCGGAAGCATTCTTCTAGGTATGTTTTGGAACTTGCTCTGCCTGCATGATAGACATTCTAAGGGAGGAGGGGTAAATTATAAGAGAAAGGAGAGATCTCTAACCTTGCTCTTGTCCACCTGATGTTATTAAGTTTACAGAAGTTTATAGAAATTGGAGAGCTTTACACTTCTGTAAATGTTCCGCTTGTCACAAAGGCATAGTGTCTTCAGTTACCCAGTTTGAGAAAACCTGATGAAATGGATAATTTTTTAAAAGTAATTCTAACTGCTTTTCTGCAGTCTCTGCAAGAAAATTATTTAATCAGAGACCTACTGGCACCCCTACACCCAACCAAGTATAAAGTTCTCTGCAGGGTTCCCTTCACTAACTTCCCATTTGGAAACTCTTGGTCAAGTAGCTGGGTTAATTGTCATGAAGATTAGTGTGATGCTGAAATGAGGACTAATGGTCAATTTACAGGAGTGGGGAAAAAAAGTTTAAGAATAGGTTTAACTCGGGCCTGAAAGGGTTAATTAAGTTTTTTTCATGGGTTATTAAAGACCCCCAACCCGGGCCTTCAGGAGCCATGTTGACACCCCACCACAGGGCAGCTCGACTCCTCTATGGACTTGTTGCTGGTCAGAGCACAATAGCCTCTGTGTCTGCAAATCATTGCTAAAAATCATCTCAAGGAAAAAAAAAGTTTGAAAGCTTTAACATTAGACAAAGCCCCAGCGCTGCAGTGTGCAGCTCAAAAACCCAGAGTCAGCAAGTTCTATTGATTAAAAACTAACCTTTAAAGTAACTCTGAGAGTGTGTGGTTAGCATTTAAATTTAAACATGTCATGAGTTGATTTGTGTTACTGAATACCAACTCAGAAGAAGTAACATTCACATTGCATTTTTTTTTTCTAATTCCCTTAAGCAGCTAAAGTATTTCATGAAATGTCAATAGGGCAAAAAAAAAAGAAAAGGGGGGGTGTGATGCCGGCCCTTGTAGTTTCTTTCCCATGCAAATATCCACCCCCCAAAAGAAAAGTGTGGAGAGTGAAACACAATAATTAGTCTTTTGTCTAACTTTCCCAAGTGCCAGAGAAAGACAGATTAATTAAATATACAACAGTGTTGGTTTTTGGAGTGGGGGTCTTGCTTGCTGTGTAGGTCATAAATTAGGCAGAATAAATACTTCAATGTGTTTGCAGTGGGCCTGCTACGTCAGAACCACTGGAAGGTTGGTGGGAGGAGAGCGGAGGGTTTCTTGCTAATGATAGTCACGTCTGGGTCTGTCTGGTTGCTCCTAGCAACCAGACATGATGTAACACCAGGATGAACTTGAACTTGGGGGACTTGAAAAGAGAACAATAGACCAGAGCAATCAATAAAGCCTATTTCAGTGAAGGATTACAGAGCTGCTCTGGGGTAACCTTGTCTGCAAGGCACATACTGAATAGTAAGATGTGTGAAGAAACTTTTTCCCCCTTCTGCTTTGCTTTTTAAGACTAGTGCAGAGGCACTGCAGGTTTTATAGTATGCGGAGGTCGTGTCCGGGAACTGTGGTACGGAAAACTGCTCCCCCTGTTGACGCACTGGCTCGCAAGCCTTTGCTTCCAAAACCAAGGCCTCGCATCTGTTTAAGAATTCCCGGATTTCACAACTGCCTCAGAAAGTGTGAGAACAGAAATTTTAAACACTCAGAGTTTGGGACTGTTTTGCTGAAGAGAGAACACTGCTCAGAAGTCGATGTGAAAGCGTTCTTGAGAGAATCGCCTGCTAAAAATACAGCTTGGGATTTGTCCGCCTCCTCCTTTCTTTCTCTTCTTTCTTGTTTTGTCCAGTTAGATTTAGGCCATGTGTACTGGCCAACATGATTTCCTTTCAGAACACAAGAGGCTTTATTGTGGTCCTCAATGCATGTGGTCAAAGAATAACATTTAAGAGTATGCAGAATGAGTGCTTTTTTTCAGCTTAGGCTTACATTTTTTTTTTTTTAATAAACTTTTTTTGGGTATCAAAGGTTCCTGTGTGACCAGGAAGTCTTATACTAGCCTCCTAGTAGCTATCACTTAACCATGCGATACAAGGACATCTTATTTTATCTAGTTTGATCTCTTGCATAAGGATGGATTACCCCAAATATAACTCTTTCTGATACTGTCAACTTGGAGAATCCCAAAACTTTCGCTTTCACTAGAATTAGATAATTTTTTTCTGTGAGTGATGATAAGTACAGAGCTTTCAACAAGATATCTCAGTGATCATGCTTAGTAAAGTAGAGGGCTAGTGAAAGAGGAAAACTAAGTAAAATAAATTAACACAGTGACTACAATAATGAGCTCAAATACAGCAGAGATTGTAAGGATGAAGTATTGGAGTGGCTATGAATGGAGCTCTGGTGGCTTAGTAGCAAAGAATTGTGTTGCCAACACAAAGGTATGTGGTTCAAGTACACTAACTGCTAGATAGGAGCAAGCCTGTTCAAATTATTGCTTCGGAAAACCCACTATGAGTTGGGTCCCACTGAATGGTATATAGCAATAACATGAATCAGAACCTATACAACATCTAAAAACAATACATGTAGAGGAAAAATTGTCAGAAGCTATAATTTTTTATTTCACTTGAGAAACTCCATAATTTGTGACTTTATTTAGCTAACAGAGAGAGGAGTGTCAGCAAAAGGAGTGAGAGATTACCAGATGGTAGCTAATCAAAGCGTATCACTTAGGGATTTTTGAGAGAAAATGGTAACTGGACCCAGTAGGCTATAGAAGGTTCTGGATAATTATTGACTGAATGAGAATATGAACGTAGACATGCAATGTCATTGTCTTTCAAAATATAGTCATTAATAGGGTAAAATTTTGATACCACTTGATTATTAAATTTCATTTTGTAAAACCGTGAACTATAAAAGCATATTTTGACCTCACAGAATCTATCTCTATCTCATACACATACAAGAAAATAGAGTCCGAGAGGGATGCTGTGACTTGTTCAAGATCACCCGGGACACCCAGTTCAATACTTTTTCTTTTTACCTCCACTTCTCTTCTATCAAGAGGCTCTGGGGAAAAAAAGAGAGAGAGAGAGAGAGCTCTGGTGGTGTAGTCCAGAAGGAGTTGTGGTTCATAACTCAAAGGTAATGCTTCTCTGGAAGTTCAAATATGCCTATTGCTCTAGGAGAGATATATGGGCAATCTCCTTCCATGCAATTACAGCATTAGAAAACCTATTGAAGGATCAACTATGTGTCAGCTCCAACTTGATGGCAATGAGTTTGAGTTTAGACCCTTTTCTAAGAGTGTCTGGCTGGTGCAAACAGTTAATGTGCTTAGCTGTTGACTGAAAGATTGGAGGTTCCAGCCCATCCAAAGGCACCTAGGAGGACAAGAGTAGTGATCTACATCAGAAAAATGATCCAGTAAAAACCCTGTGGAGTAAAGCTCTACCCTGATGTGCATAATGTCACTGTATGTCAGAGTCCACTTGATGACATCCGGTAGTGGTGGTAATTCTTCAAGACACAATTGATCATCCTGTACTTGTTAAAAGAAATGTATTTTCAATGCATTTGAAAATATACTCTCCTTGAGTGTTATTTACAAACCCAATAGTCGGTCAGCCATGAGTTGTTTCTGACTTGGCAGCAATGAAATTAAGACAGATCAGATCTGGTATGTCAAAAACTGCTATTGTGTTTCATTTCTTATTTTTCCCAGTGACTTTCTTCTTCATGCCTAGTATACATCTAGATTTCGTTGCTGGACAGGCACTTTCTGTGGGGGGAATATTGTATATCTATATTTAGAAGCAGGAGTGGCATCCACTTCCTAAACAACATGCCTGTGGAAATGATGAACTTTGATAAATGACGATACTTATAGAAAAGCTTCAGGCCTTTCATTCATAGGGTTGCTATGAGTTGTGCTTGACTCAACAGCAATATCATCAGAGGCCATTGAAGGTGTGACAGTATGGCGCCCTGGGTGGATACTAAAGCCTTCCAGCCAAGGGCGTAGTAAGAAGACAATGTCTTGGCTGAATCCAGGATGCTGGTGCTCCATACTAGGCCTAGACAGCACCTCACAACACTTGACTCGCCAGCACCTAACAACAGCATTCTTCTAATTTTCCTTTTTATTCTTGTCTTCCAGTCCTGGTACCTGGGATAAAAGTCGCAGCGTCCCACCATCCACCAGACAGACCACCTGACCCCTTCTCAACTCTGTAACATGGACGCAACCTCAACCCAGCGCGGTTACAACTTCACTGTCAGTAGAAGGGGAGAAAAACAGATTCAAATCAACTTGTGCAAGGAAACAGCAAGCATTATGGTCAAACAGCAAAGGCCATAACCTTTTGGGATTTTCTTTTTTTTTTTTTTTTAATACCTTAGGGACTGTTGTAATTTTCTCATATGGTGCTGGAAATGGTTGGGCTTTGTAGCATTTGAAGTGTTTCCGTGGTGGCGTGAGCAGTAGGTGATGTGGCTGGAGAAGGTTTACCCTTGCTCACTGACTTCCCGTTGTAACACACTTTCCGTATGGAGCCTGGCTGTTTCACAGTATTTCATGAATTTACCCACACAGGTGTGATCCTCGAGCAAACCAGAGGTGCACGGAGAACTAAATCTTTTGTAGTAGCTGAGATCTGCAATATATAACTTACGGGACAGTCAAAGGGCAATGTTTTCTGTAACATATTGGGAAAAGAAAATGCAGTTATGTTCCTGTTTTATTTTTTTTCTTTTTAGTCTGGTTTGGTTCAGCAGTCAGCAGTTAAGTATGTAACATGGCCCGCAAGGACAATGAATTCACTCACGTTGCAGAACAGTTCTGAAAATGGCAAACTACTACTACTACTACTACTACTATTCAGTTTTTTAAAAGTTTCAAAATGCTGCACTTAACATTTAAAAAAAAAACAACCATTTTTTTTCAACAATTTCAACAATGACACAAAAATTCATAGGGAAATGGGGAAGATGGTCTGTTTTGACAGAAACTGACAGGAATCAATCAAAACAATCGAATTTTGAATTGAGTAAAGTGCAATTTCATTGGATAGCTAAATATCTTTGTAAGATAGAGATTGTTGAAAATTCTATTTTTGTTTTTCAAGTCCTTCCACCCCAGGACTCTAAATTATTGGGGTAAAAAACAGCCTTGCAAGAAAAAGGGGAGCTATTTTTGCTTTTTATGTTTTTTATTGTTAAACTTGTATCCCTTTAAAAACTGAAGGAAAATTAAAAAAAATACAAAAAAAATACAAAAAAACAAATCTAATGGTGCTTTTACCACAATATGTTAATGACATTAAATGCTAATTAATTATTTTCTGTTATCAAAGCACATCACTAAAATGAAATCATGATATCTGTTAATTTTATAAGCTAGAAGTCACTATAATCGATTCTGCCAATTCTGAAGATTTTTACATGTATCTGGCAACATAGGATTTATCAGTTATCAGACACTTCATTGTACCAGAGATTGTCCAGGAATTTTAAAGACCTTTGCATCCCTGAATGGGCTATGGGAAAAATAATAAAAATAATAATAATGAAACCCATACTGATACAAATGCAGTTATCCTTTCAGATCAAGGATACTTGTTAGGGGGAAAAAAAGTTTGCAACCCCAAATGTCCTGTATCTTATGTAAAAAAAAAAAATAAGAAAAAAATTGCAAGTGAATTTTCTACCAGACAGCGAAGCACCCCTTTCGATTCCCATGCAACTTCAAGAAGGTTTCCTATACTATACATATATATACGTTCTGGTTGGCAAGCCCCGCTGATCAGAGAAAATCTCTGCATGTTCTAGTGTTAGTAACTAATTTTTATATAGTTAATGTAGGATAAAGTAGAGTGCATTAAGACACAATATTGTAATCCCTACTCTAGGCACTTGCCTTTAAACTATGTTTTTCAGCCCTTCAGAAGGGTTCTACTACTGTCCTATACAATCAAGTAACTGAAATTCTTGGGAAGACACTTTGCTCCTCATCTTTCCCCCCCGAAACAATGTTGTTTTGTTTTGTTTTTTTTCCTTAATTTGCACGAAGACAAAAATTCCATATCAATGTGCCTTGCCCTGGATAGCGATTATTTGTGGAATTGTTGCACATGCTCCTCTATTGAAAGGGGTTTTTCCCTAGTCAAGCATTTGGAGACACTTTTTGTAAATGTGACTTTTATGTCAGCCATTGTCAGTTTCAACATCTAGAACTAAATAGAAAGTTAGTTGTTCCGCAGATAGGAGTAGTCTTTATTGTCCTGTATGGTCAGTGGCAGTGCTATTCTGAGATCTGTAGATGCTTAGAATATCAGTATTTTGGATGTTGCTGCATTTTACAATTTATTTGGAGTCTTCCTTTATTTCCCCCACCCCCAGATATATGAAAATATGCAATACCTGCTTATATCATGTAGGAAAAGCTTAGCGATTATTAATTTTTCTTTTCTTTTTTTTTTTTTTTTTAATTTGACCAAAGTCGGTGCTGCACTTGACGCAGTGTGTTTTAGGTGTTTGTCGTTGTACTTTTTTTTTGTGATTTTTTTTGAATGCACGTGCGCAGGAAGGGCTCCTCTTAGAGAAGCAGTCAAACTGTGAAGCACTAAGCTGACCCTGCTTCAAGCAATTTTGTTTTTACAACTGTTCCTTTCACAAGCAAGCCTTAAAGAAAAAAAAAGAAAAAGAAAAAAAAAAGACAACTTCCTTTTTCTTCAGCTCCCACACCCCATTTTTCTTAGCCGACTGCAGTCAATCCACATTCAATAAAAAGTATATAATGCCCATTTTTATATGCACGTTTTTAAACTTCCAAGTTCTGAAAATTGTTTACTGGTTCTCTCTATTTAAGGAAAAAAAAATAAAATAAAACATTTTGGATTTTCATATGTGTCTGATAAGTGGTTGAATAGTCGTTTGGCGCTGTTGTATGGTGTGATTGTCAGTGTACGGTGTCACTTCCTATAGCCAGCCAGCATACTTTTGCCTTCCCCAATAGCACTTAGCTGGGCATTACTTTATTATGACATATGTGCACTAAAAAAAAAGAAAAAAGGAAAAAAAAAGAAAAAAATAGCAGCTTTCAGTGCTTCACAGTGAAGGGAAAAAAGCCTAGACAAACATTTTGTCATTACCTTGAAATAAGACAAGGTATTACCAGTAAATTGGTTGTATATACAATAAAATTGCACCCTTTTTTTAAAAAAAAAAACAAACTAAGCAATAGTTTGGGCAGTTTTAGTTGTTTTTAGTGAGCATGTTGTAGTCATGACTGCAAAGAGAGAGAATAAACTGCCCACTCAGAAGATATGTAATTTGTATGTTGTATAGTTTTATTGATTACACTGATTTATTCTACCCTATTTTATAATGCAGGACTTTTGTAATGTTGTTTAAATGAGGAAAAATTTCTGTCAAATTAGTCTAGTGAAATTTCTGATTGTTCATTATAAAGGCAGCGTTCATAGAATTGCTTTTGTTTCTTTTAACTCCCCTCCCCATCCCCATTTGGGAACTGGATTTAAGTTTAAAACTTTCCTGTTTCCTTTTTTTTTTTTTGTAAGTATTTAAATACGGTTATTTTTTTTTTTCTCTCTCTCTCAATGGTATAGCATATTCCTATGCTTGAGAAGTGTAGGTCTACTGAAAAACCATTGTAAATGGACGTTACAGGTATGCTGTATTTTTGAAGGTATTTTGTTGTATTAAGTTTGATGAAGCTAAAATTAGGGAACTCTGAGCAGATTTGCAGGAAAAAAATGTTTTAAAGGCTTTAAAACATTAGGGAGGCAGTCTAAGGTGATCACAAACAGGGGTTAAGTATTAAATACACTAAATTACATTTTTGTTCATGTTTCATTGTCCAGAAAGCAGCAGGAAACTGTAGTTCCGTTGTGATCAAGCAGGAAAGAAACACCAACAATCTGAGTGCTTTATTTTTTGGACTCAAAGCCAAGCAAAGATATTTGACGAGGACTTTGCTACATGGGGTGTGTAGACAGACAGACTGAGAGCTATCAGCATTTGAAGGCCCTTGATTTTGAGACACATTTGGATTTCTCCCCCCTCTGTCAAATGGCATTAACAATATTGACAAAGATAAGTCCCGCAGATGACTCTCCGTGTTTTCTCTTTGTCTGGGAACAGAAGTCAGAGGCACAAACACTAAGTCTTACCATTTTTCTTGACTCTTCTTTCTAGCCCTACACCCTTGCCACCAAAATTTTCTTTTTCTGATCCTTCAGGGTTAGAGCCTCTCCCACTCATGCCACTTTCTCCATCTCAGAGCTTTTTCCTTTCCTGTGAAATTAGAATGAACTTTTATGTTTCTTCAACCCTTGGCATGACAGCTATTTTATTGTTCGTGCATCATCCCACTCCGCAGCCAGGTGTGGGCTACAGATAGGCAGACAGATCCACTTCCCAAAGCTTGTGTAATACCTTTTTAACAGCTGAAGTGTAGAGGAACCCAACTTTCCACAGTCACCGTATTCAGTCAGCCCACAGAAATATGCAAAACCCATCACAAGAAGTTTGTCTTTGACTTCTTCAAACCCTTATCCTCCTGTTCTTTGAATTTTATAGTTAACAGTGTCAGGAAAACTTTACAAAATCTGGACTAAGAAAACTTTTTTTTCCCTTGCAATTGTTTTTTTTTTTAGGGGGAGGGTTTTCTAAGAATGTCATTTTATGTATTTTGCATCACGTCTCCAGAATTCTCTGTTTAGTGGTGGTCAGGTCTCTCTTGCTGTCTATGTCTGTCTCTTGTGTGTCTCTCTGTCCATCTCTTTCCTTCTCTCTGTTTCTTTCCTTCTTGTGTTCTATTTTGGTAGGAGGCCTCCATAGAACAAATTTAAAACAAACCGGCATGGTAATGTAAGGAGAGCTTCAGTGGCACCTCACAACCCACGCTCATGAGATCGGACCTAAGCCGTTCTAGAGTACTGCACTGTCCAACGGGCAGGGCTTCCATTCAAACACGCTTCCAAGGCCAATTTTGTCTTGAAGCCAATGCATGTATTTACTGTCAGACAGTAAACCCGCTCTGCCTTCTCCACGTCCAAGGCTGTGCATTCGTCTAATTAGCATTGTGTATGTTTTCCTTTTATTTTTTCCAATAAAAAAAGCAGTGGGATGAAAATTGCTTTGATATATAGCAGGTAACATTGAAGCTATTCCATAGCACTTAACTGTAGTGAATAGTGTGTCACCAATTCTGAAATCAATTTAATGTTTAATGCAAATCCATTACATGGTGCTATTACAGGCTGACAAAATGATTTACACAAATGTGACAACTTGGGCTCAATTCACTCTGCTTCCCAACAGTGTAAATGCATAGCAGTGTTTATCTGCATGAGAACTATGCACTAATCTATCTGAAGAAAAAAAAAAGTATATCAACTTTGGTATCTACTTTCCGTTTACTTCAATCCTTGCCTTTTTGGTCATTGTTATAATGCCAGCTTTAGGACAGAAAGAATTATAAGAAAACCAGCATAATACCTGATATATTAAAATGTAGTGCCTGTGAAATCTGTATTATATTGCTCTTCTGAAGTAAGATTTTTCTACACCGGTAGCCTTCGCTGTCTGTCAGTCAGGACCTTCTGGTATAGGTGATGTAAAATAACCGTACAATATTAATGCATGCTATTCCATAATGCTTAGTGAACTGTATGAATATTACTCAAAGTTATGTTAGTCTTTTTTTCTGACTTGGTTCTCATCAGCTAGGTTTAAAGGTATTTCACTAAGAACGCAAATTCTGTCTCTTCTTGATTTCAGCTGTTTTCAGTATTTTGGAGGTATACATTTACTTAAATTCAGTATTACTTGTGTTTTCGTTTTCGTTTGGGGTTTTTTGTTTGTTTGTTTTCTTTTTCCTAGGGGACAAGCATGGGGGTTTGATTTCAGAAATCAGTGCCTGGCAAGATTTTTGTCTCAAAACTACCATTTGACTTTCAAGGACTGTGCTACAAAGACACTCAGAGGACATTTCAAAGGGAGAGATGTTTTCTCAGACCCCAGACTGAAGCTACTCTGTGATTCCGACGTGGTTTCTTAATGGACAATGTTCAGCCAGGTTCCCATGCTTGATCCGTCTTCACACCAGATCTCTTCATATTAAAAAAAAAAAAAAATGAAAAAAGAAAAAAATGTTAAGAAATCACGTGGCTATTTAGTTTCATGCACAGTTACAATATTTTCTTCAAAAATAAAAACTCTG